CCGTCGGGCACGCTCGGAGCCTTTCGGGTTACGATCGGAGCGCTTTCGGTAATGATCGCCAGATGCCCGGTAATGCCCGACGGCCGTGCCGAACATTTCCGAGGATATTCAAAATGGCGGCGGGTTTGTTTTGGAGCGGTTCCAGTTGAGCCGGAGTACAAAAGGTCGCGCTGCGGGCGATTTTGGGGGATCTGAGTATCGCGAACCCGGCCAATTGTGAGGTAAGACTTCAGGGAAGCTCGGGACAGCAAAAAACCGGGTCGAAAACGGAGCATCTGGAAGCCAACGGGAAATGTGCAGTTTTCCCAATGCATCTTTCCGCGACTCTTGCTGAGGGTAATGCAATGTAAGCCCGAGTCAAGAGTCGCCGCGGCTAGGTCGGACCCAACACTGAGAAATACAAGAGGAAGCTAGTTGCCATTTTAAAACGTCTCAAGGAAAGTAGTAAGATCACAGAAGAACAGTATAAACATTTATATCCTACAGCGGAAAACGTACCGAGAATGTACTGTACTCCTAAAATACACAAACCTGGAAACCCGTTGCGGCCGATAGTTGATTATACAGGTTCGATAGGGTACAATACGTCCAGGGCTTTGGCAGATCTGTTAGCACCTTTGGTGGGGAAGTCTACACACCACATTAAGAACTCAAAGCATTTAGCAGAAGAAATGTCCACTATATTAGTAGAGGAAGATGAGATGTTCTTGTCCCATGACGTTGTCTCCCTTTTTACTAATACCCCCATCCCAGAGACACTTGGCATCATCAGAAGAAGACTCCAGGGGGATAAAGAGCTGAAGAACCGGACGAACCTAGAGGTTGAGGACATCATAGAACTTTTATCTTTTATTGTCACAACCACTTATTTCAGTTTCCGGGGGGATATCTACCAGCAGAAATTTGGGACAGCTATGGGTAGCCCTGTGTCCCCAGTGTTGGCCAACCTGTTTATGGAATGGCTGGAACAGGAAGCCATAGCGACAGCGCCCATTTCCTGTAGACCTAAGCTCTGGAAGAGATATGTGGACGACGTGATGGAGATAGTGAAGAAGGGTGTCCATCAAGATCTCACAGACCATCTTAACAACATAGATCCTACAGGAAGTATTCAGTTCACGCATGAGGAGGAGAAAGACAACACATTACCGTTCCTGGATACTCTCCTGGTACGAAAGGGGGATGGTACAGTAAAACTTCTAGTGTACAGAAAAAGTACACATACAGACCAGTATCTCAACTTCAAGTCCCACCATCCACTGCACCAGAAACTGGGAGTCATCCGCACCCTTATGGACAGATGTAACTCGGTGGTGACAGAGGAGGAGGACAAGGAAAGAGAAACACAGCACATCAGAAGAGCCTCATCCGATGTGGGTACCCAGAATGGACCTTTCGGAAGGTGGAACGGAAAGAGAAGAGGCCAAAGCAGACAGAGAAGAACAAGAAAGAGGGGGAGAAAACTAGGGCCATGGTGATTATCCCATATGTGAAAGGAGTAACCGAACCACTAGAAAGGGTATTCAGGAAACACCAGGTATCCACAGCAGTGAAACCAAAACAACATTGAGGAACCTGCTTGTCCACCCCAAGGACAAGATGGGGACCACGTGAAAACAGACTGCGTATATAAAATACCATGCAAAAGCTGTGATCAAGTGTATATTGGAGAAACTGGCAGGACCTTTGGCAAAAGACTGGAAGAACACAGAAAAGAGGCAGACAACAGCGAAACCGTAAGATATACACGCTCCCAGAAACAACAAGCACAAAAAGAAGAGAAGAAATCGGCAGTCACAGACCATGTTGCCAGAAACAATTGTGTGATAGACTGGGAGGGTGCCAGGGTCATAGATAGGGAGGACAACAGAAGAATCCGTTGGATTAAAGAAGCAGTCTGGATAAGGAAGTCTACCCCAGTGATGAACCGGGACGAGGGGGGATACAAGCTCAGCCACGTTTGGGATTGCATTCTCGCCGCAAAAGCGCCACCTACTTTGGCGTTAAATAGCGGCGAGTTGCAGAACTCCAGTCAGAAGCTCTGAGGAAGGTGTCTGATAGACATCGAAACGTAAGCAGGTGAGAACCTTACTGGTTGTGTTAGAAGAAAATCCTATACCCCTGAATCAAAACCATTTGTACCATGATTGAGTCAAAATTTTAAAATGTAGGAACCTTGTTTTTTCGGCCCGCCTTGGTTTTTTTTCGCCCGCTCGCATTAGATTTGGAGTCTGCGGAGGATGTCATCCATAAAATTTACTTGCTGTGGCCTTAGTAAAGAATACTACACGGTGTACTCCGTATCTTGTGCTCACATCATACCACCACAAAATATTCTGTTCATAGTGGAAATAAAGTCAAGTGTAATTGTAAAAACTAGAGTTTCATGACCTCATTCCCTCACGCCAAATGATATTAAACTTTATAAATGATAAATAAAAAAAAAGGAGTATGCAAATAAGATCCTCAGTTGACCATATTCTCCAATGGTAGATTTATCTCAACAAAGAAGGATATTCTAGCATTCCCACATAAATTAGGCAAAGGTCCTGATTTAAATAAGATACGTTAAATGAAAATATATTCGGTTGTCAAGTTCTTCTAAGTTGAACTTTGAACTTTATTCGTCGACTTTACATCGGTGGCACAAACGGACATGCCGTGTGCAGAATGCAAATTAAAAGCAAATTATATTCAAACATTACGACACCTATCTAACATAAAAGAACGAGAAAATTATAACAAATTATAGCAACGTGTAGCAAGGCAATGCACCAGAGTTACAAAACCATTCCAGAAAATAAATGCTAGCTACTCGGGATTACTGCGTTGCTAGGGAGGTATATTTTCCCTAGCAACGGTTACCATAGAAACATAATATAGATTTCCAAGGCCCTCTAATTAATAATTTTCCTCCAGTAGAAGTTTTCTTCAAGTTTTCCATATGGTGTGCACTCCATTTTGCTGGGAAAGCAGCCAAGTGCCTCCTTAGCAACGGCCCTAGCAACGGTTTTCCCCACAGAAGGCCTTTGAGAATAAAACTTTTAGATACTCATATCTCCGGATAGAATTGACGGATTTTTATGATTTAAAGCTTGAAATGTAGGAAATGATACAAAAAGTCAGATGAATGCATGCAGCAGGCTCAAAAATCTGAATATTTGACAGGTTTTGAAAAGTAAACATCCTATTTTTTACCAATTTTTACCCAAAAATCTATTTTCGAAAGCTCATAACTTCTTGTAGAACTGACATATCGAAACAAAATTAACATTTTTATAATCCTTGGTTCCTGTTTTATCAGTCCAAGTTACATTGTCCAAGTTACATTGAAGTTACATTGAAAAATATCCATATTTGATTATTTACCACTCCCCTTTGCATTATTAGTGCAAAAGGAAGCGGTTCATACGAGGTCAAAGTTCAAGGTCAGATAGCAAGGTCAAAGCTACCAATGTGCAACGGCTATCATATCAAAAAATATTCCACAGACACCCTTCTTTTCAAAAACCATGAGAATTTGCCACCTCAGGTGGTACCGATATCTCCTCTGGCCCATGGACCAAGAAAGTTCTAAGAAAGAAGACAATACTGGCGCAAGAGGTCGCCCCCACAGACAACTTCACCCGTAGAAGTACTGTAGCAGATGGCAGCACGTCGGCTTGTTCTCGCAGTAGTTGGTGGAACCGTTGAGATTGATCCTGACACAACCGCCCCCTGTCTGGTCGTTCTTGAAGCGCAGCTCGCGGATGTGACGATGTGTTATGTGACGATGGCCGTTACATTCTAAAATATGTTTCACTCCAAAACATAATTACCTGCACCAAGAAGGTTATATTTTCAGTAGCGTTTGTCCGTCTGTCCGTTTGTCTGTATGTCTGTCTGTGAACAGCATAACTCAAGAACTTTAATATGCATTGTCATGAAACTATGTAGTTGGGTAGGTCTTGATGAGACCTATAAATGATTAGATTTTTGGCCTCTCCATATAACCCCTTTGCAGTATCAAATGTACCACCCGAAAAAATACACATAAAAGGGGAAAAGAAGCACCAAAACGCGCCAAAAACAAGCCAAAGCCTAAATTTTTGCTACGAGAGAAATTAAATAACCGTTCCTTATCAAACTTTAAGTACGAATGCCCGGTGACTTTTTTGGAGTAAACAGAGACCCCCCCCCCCGGAAGTATTAGTATTCCACCACTGTACAAGCTTCTTGGGGGATTTAAGGATGTAAGCAACACTTCCTAAGAACTTCCAAGAGTAGGACACCAGTCGTACTCGTACACACTGTGTCATTATTCAATCCGGCCACAGTCAGGCATACCGGATCTATATGGCAGTCCTGATCTGATCCTACAATCAGCACAAGCTGAACCACTGTTACTCTTGGCTCATCTCCAAGTAGATCTTTCGGTGACTGCAAGACAGTATTAAATTGGTGGGACAGTATCAAGTTTGCAAGACAATATCAAATTAGGCGCCAGTCTTGACATCTACGTCAAGAAAACCTGTGTATAAATTGGGCAGTATCAAATTGGCAAGACAGTATCAAATAAGTACGTATCCATTCGCCACCCAAAGTTTGACTGAGGTAAAAAAAAAATATCCTCACCGTGAAAGCCCGGTAAATTAAAAAAAAAAAACGCATAAAACGTGTCAAAAACAAGCCAAAGCAAAGCTCTTGACAACGACAAAGTCATTTTTCTGGTTACGTTCCGCTCGAGGGCCCGGATGTGGCTTTCTAATTATAACTCACAACAACAGTGACTCACAGCAGTACGTCAAACTGTGTTTTTAAAAAATCATTCTCGCCGACATTTTCTACCCAACCTGTGAGAGTTGATCGGCTCTAGCACATACAACAATGTTGCGGTTCGCTGTTCTGCTGTCCGTGCTGTCTTCTGCTGCTTTGGCACAGCACTACCTGTCCACGGATGGACAGCACTTCAAACTGAACGGACAGCGGGTCTTCCTGTCCGGACTCAACATGGTGAGAAATATTTTGCCTCACAGATATCAGTATGCTATGGAATAGCGATGATTATACTTAGTACAGTATATAAATGACCAGAAAATTGACTTTCAAAACAGCTTTACTCTCTCGAAATCGCTTTGGGTGATTTTAACGCTGAATTATGAATTATAAGAGGCCACAACGCCTTAGGGCAAAAACCATGCAGACCACAATGTTCAGCATGAGGTTAGGAATTGTGGTGCCAGATACATGCAGTCGTAGAGGCTCTGATATTATATTGACCATTCAGGGTGCTTGTGGACTATCAAAATAGCATATCAATCAATTGCCTATCACATGCGCTGCGCTGGAAGCCAACACGATCCACATCTTATCTTAATTATCTTTCTAAGGTAACGTGAACCAAGTGTATTCCTTCACAGTGCATGGAGCCGCAAACCACTGTTTACATTTCTAAAGAGCCCCACCATAGAGCTGTATTTTTCTTGAAGGTAGCGTGGTGCTAGCAAATCTGTCGCAGGTCTCGACGTCTACACTATAAAATCGCCTACATCAATGGAGCTATAGCTCTATGGATGTGATATTAGTGCAGCTCCTTCTCACACGATCGTCTACCCCAACCCTAACATCTGATTGGAGACTGAGCGCGCCCTGTGTTCCAGGCATGGTGCCGGTACGGGTACGATTTCGGAGGCGGCGCGTACGACTACGTCAGCCTCGGGGATTTCTGCCCCCACCCCCGGGCCGCCTACGAGCGGGCCATTCGGGACATCAGGATTAACGGCGGAAACTCACTCCGTATGTACTCATATTACTGTATCCAGAACCGTGCCTATCTAGTTACCTTCGCCAAGAAGGTTATGTTTTCAGTAGCGTTTGTGAACAGCATAACTCAAGAAGCTTAATATGCATTGTCATGAAACTTGGTAGGTGGGTAGGTCTTGATGAGACCTAGAAATGATTAGATTCTGCCCCCCCTGGCGGCTTTTGTTGGTACTGCAGCAGAACTTCCGGTTTTGATATTTCGCGATCTGGACATGCTAGGGTCACGAATTTTGGTTGTTAGATAGCTCTTTGGGTAGGGAAGAAGTGACATAAATTTGGGCCCCCTAGCGGCTTGTTCTGGAACTGCAGGAGCATTTGTTGAAAAATTTTCGAAGGAGGATAACTCAAAAACCAGTAGACGGATTGCGGTGATTTTTGGTTTATATGTAGCTGAAGTGATGCTTGACATAATCAGATGACAATTGTGCAAATCAGGAGCAATTTGCATAATCAATGAGGAAATTCTATAAATCTGCTTCGTTCGATAATAGGACTATGAAACACTTGTGACAAGTAATTTAGAACGAGACAAACATATTGCGATATAAATTATGTAAATGAAGACCTACTTTGCGTAATTGCATACTCGCCGCATTTGGCTTGGTCGCAGTGTTATAATATCTAAACCATTTGCCCACGGTGTTTATGTGATTTAATCACACCTGGTAAGATTGTGGCGTCATAACCAATACAAGTATGAATCGTTTGAGGGACCTTTGATTGGTCGATGTCGTATGACTATATGATAATATAGAATAATCTCCAAGCAACAGATCTTTGAGGGGGGGGGGGGCTTTGGGGCTGCAAGACATTATCAAATTAGCAAGGCAGTATCCAAGGCGGAGGTCTCCATATAACCCTTTGCAGTATCAAATGTACCACCCGAAAAAAATACTCATACATAAAAGGGGAAAAGAAGCACCAAAACGCGTCAAAAACAAGCCAAAGCCTAAATTTTTGCTACGAGAGAAATTAAATAACCGTTCCTTATGAAACTACCAATGCCCGGTGGCTTTTTTGGAGGAAAAAGAGCCCCCCCCCCCCCAGAAGTATTAATATTACACCACTGTAGAAGCTTCTTGGGGGATTTAGGGATGTAAGCAGCACTTCCTAAGAACTTCCAAGAGTAGGACACCAGTCGTACACACTGTGTCGTTATTAAATCCGGCCATAGCCAGGCATACCGGATCTATATGGCAGTCCTGATCTGAGTCTACAACCAGCAACGGCTGAACCACTGTTACTCTTGGCTCATCTCCAAGTAGATCTTTCGGTGGCTGACAGTATTAAATTGGTGGGGCACTATGCATTGTCATGACGTCATGAAACTTGGTAGGTGGGTAGGTCTTGATGAGACCTAGAAATGATTAGATTCTGGGCCCCCTGGTGGCTTTTGTTGGTACTGCAGCAGAACCTCCGGTTTTGATATCTCGCGATCTGGACATGCTAGGGTCACGAATTTTGGTTGGTAGATACTCGTTGGGTAGGGAAGAAGTGACATGAGTTTGGCTTCCCTAGCGGCTTGTTCTGGAACTGCAGGAGCATTTGTTGAAAAATTTTCGAAGGAGGATAACTCAAGAACCAGTAGACGGATCGTGGTGATTTTTGGTTTGTATGTAGCTGAAGTGATGTTTGACATAATCAGAGGACGATTATGCAAATTAGGAACTAATTTGCATACTTAATGAGGAAATTCTATAAATCTGCTTTGTTCAATAAGAGGACTATGAAACACTTTTGACATGTAATTGAGACCGAAAAAAAAACACCTGAGGATACAGATTATGTAAATGAAAACCTAATTGGCATAATTAATGGGAAATTTTTATACTGTCATAGTTGTAACTGCTGGGAATGTCATACTTGCCACATTTGGAAGTTAAGTGAAGCCGAACATCAATAAACATATTTTATTCAAATCATGACCTCATTTGCATAATTTAGTAAAGTTTGCACCGGTAGCCTGCAGTTTTTGTGTTGTCCGCTAGGTGTGTGGCTGCACGTGGACGGACGGCACACGCCTGTGTTCTCCAGCTGGGGCTCCGTGACGCAAACAGACTCCACAAACCAGCTGATCACCGATCTGAAGAGTCTGCTTGCCTACGTACGTACGAATATGTAACACACTTCTCTCAAACATACTTGTCTAGATAAACAACGACACACACAAACTAACACGAACTCACACACACTCGTGCACACTCGAACACGCATACATGTATAACAGTTACATAGCATGCACATATGAAATGGTATGCATGCCCCCTTGTGACTTTGACGTGTATTACAGGCCCAGGCGCGGAACGTGTTGGTGTTCTTGGTGTTGTGGAACGGCGCTCACCACGACGACACGTGGGAGAGGCTGCAGAACCTCATCTGGGACGACCTGAAACTGAACACGTACGTGGAGCATGCGCTCAAGCCGCTAGCCGAGGGACTCAAGAACCAACGGGCGCTGGGTAAGGTTTTGGCAACGGCTATGGGGCGGAGCTTTCATAGAGGAGAAGAAAGTCTTGTTTCTAACATTTGCTCCTCATTTTTAGGTAAACATGCATTTTAAGAAACAAGGCAGAGTGGGGTTATAAAGATGAACATGCATATATATGTGCATTTCAGATTTTCCAAACTCTCAAATCTGACCTTTTTGATACCTCTAAATCAGGCTGAAGCTAAGTATCACTCTGTCCTCTGCTATTGCCTAACCTCTGACCTCTATACCCTGACCTCCAGGAGGCTGGGAGATCATGAACGAGCCTGAAGGCAGCCTGAAGATAGAGCCCGACACTGACCCTTGTTACGACACGAGTTTCCTACAGGGCACCGGCGCGGGATGGGCGCACTGGGACACATCAGGACCAGTACCGATCCCAACCTGGTGAGGCTTTGTGTTGGGAGGTGTCCTTCAATACAAGCAAATTACAACACCTCCTCCTTGTAATTGTGGATCTAGTCATTACACAGATCCGAAATGCATGCAAACTATTAAGTGTTCTCAATAACCGTTGATACAAAGTGGAAATGTAACGTTAGTCAGCAGGTAACTTGAAAGGCTCCAACATTTAATTGAAACCAGTCACTCTGATCTTCCTCAATAGACTGACCCAGTGAGACTTGTCACGTGGCTTCTCTGAAATGTGACGTGAACGCTGGGTCAAAGGTAACTGGTAAACAATGTCGGCATCCGTCGAGGTTGAGTGATGGGTAATGGGACCTGATGTAAGTAGCTTTTCCAACCCTCTCTTCAGGGGTGACAAGTCTCACTGGGTCAGTCTACTGAAGAGGACCAGAGTGATTGGTGGAAAGCCCTAGGTGTATGTAATCCTTCGTGTTGAATCAAAAGTTTTACATTTAAACATAGCACTTAACACCTTTGTGGACCAACGCCCCTGGCATGTAGATCTGTCTCTTTGGCCAATTTCTGTCTTTCCACCCGCTTAATCCGAAGCCTGGTAGAGGTTATTGGTCAAGGAAGGTAAATCAGATCCTTAATAAAAACCAAGATTTGCGCCCTTTAAGTAGTGTTGTATATTTGTGGTGTGACCGTTCAGGACGGACGTCCCCAGACAGCGTGTGCTGCGCTTCATCAACCGGCAGGCGGCGGCGATCAAAGAGAAGGACCCGAATCACCTGGTGACTGTTGGCTCCTGGTCCGAGTACGGACAGGTAAGTACCACCTGGTGACTGTGGGCTCCTGGTCCGAGTACGGACAGGTAAGTACCACCTGGTGACTGTGGGCTCCTGGTCCGAGTACGGACAGGTAAGTACCACCTGGTGACTGTTGGCTCCTGGTCCGAGTACGGACAGGTAAGTACCACCTGGTGACTGTGGGCTCCTGGTCCGAGTACGGACAGGTAAGTACCACCTGGTGACTGTGGGCTCCTGGTCCGAGTACGGACAGGTAAGTACCACCTGGTGACTGTGGGCTCCTGGTCTGAGTACGGACAGGTAAGTACCACCTGGTGACTGTGGGCTCCTGGTTTTCGGTATGTGATTATTTTTTTTCCTCTGTATTGGCATTTTCCGCTATTGAATTCAAATAATTCGACACTGGTCGGTGGTGTGGTATCGTCTACAACAGATGTTGTCTACTCTAGGAGTGTGGGACTAATGTACCGCGCTACTTTCAGGAGGGCGTTATGCCTGTATTGTGTATTATAATCGTAATTTCACCCATCTTTTAATTTGTCGGAAATTGTTATCAGTTGTGAATAGCATACGTACATTATATATTCCCCGAAAGTTTGGAATCATAGGTTTCTTAAGCTTGTTTCTTATTATGGTTCACGTTGGCCTTGTTGTTCCTTTGCCAGGGCGTGCGTAACCTGTACTCGGACCAGTGCCTGCAACAGGCCGGTGGTTTCGCTACCGGCGTGCTGGACTTCTACCAGATCCACACCTACGCTCACGGCGAGACATACGACAGCCAGGCGCCGTTTGTGGTAAAGGCAACTTTGATTTTTCTGTTTTCCTTTTTCTGCTAGCCCAGTGGTCGTATCTAGAACCGTTCTTTTTTCCAGAACCATGATCAGACACGGTTCTGGATAGTCCTCACGAAACCAGAACCGTACATGAGTCTAACATTAACCCAATCAGGCATAGAACCTCCCCAATTGAATTCAGGTACCCATTTCACGCCTTTAATTGAGTGAGGAAAGTCGTTGTGCCCTCATCCAGGAATGCAAGGAATCAAATACGTGACCTCTCCATCTGGTATCCGCTCGCCTTAGCTACAAAAGAGAAATATTTAATAGTTTAAAATGAAGCATAAGAAACACACATTAACAAACATGTGGAAAAGAAAAGCCATTGCATTTATGTGTATTGTTTAGTGACTTGTGAAACATTTAATTTTCAATGTACAAGTGCCAGAGAGAATATAAGTTGTGCACAACTTGAGCAGGCCGCCACTTTGTCTTCGCCCTTTCCTTTGTATTATTGTTTCTTTCAATAAAAAATGGGAAATCTTCAAAACTGCATAGGTAAACAATACCAGTGGATTGAACGAAAGACCATAGGTACAATTATTATTATTTTTTCCTGTGTGTGTACTTCGAGTTTCTATGGGTACTTCGAGTTTCTATGAGTACTTAGAGTTCCCATACAAACTCTAAGTTCCCATACAAACTCTTAGTGCTCACAGAAACTCTAAGTACTCATACAAACTCTACAATCCCATACAAACTCCAAGTGCTAACAGAAGTACCCATAGAAACTCTAAATACCCAAAGAAACTCTAAGTACTCATAGAAACTCGAAGTACTCATAGAAACTCGAAGTACTCATAGAAACTCGAAGTACTCATAGACACTCGAAGTACTCATAGAAACTCGAAGTACTCATAGAAACTCGAAGTATACCAATAGAAACACTAAGTACTCATAGAAACTCGAAGTACCCATAGAAACTCGAAGTACATACACAAGAAGAAACATAATTGTACCTGTGGTCTTTCGTAGGATTGTGTTCTGATGTTGCTTCATTATTGTAAGAGTTTTGCGAATGAAAGAATTTGAACTTTATTTTCTTGCAGGTGTCCGACGCCTCCGTCTACACTGCGCTCAACGACAAGCCTGTGGTCATTGGCGAGTTTAGTCAGACAAAAGGTAAGTCGATTTGTACGTCGGCATAACGTAACAGTACTGTACCTGCGCGAAACCCGTAATGTATTGTGCATACTACAATTTATTCTTTTTTAATGTCATACTTGGGCCGCGATTATGTTCGATACGGGTTTTCCGTGCCCGTGTGATAACTAGCGGTACGGCCCGGGGTTCTTAACGGCTACGGCCCGGTCTTCCAAATGTTCATAGAAAAATGTGAACGCGTTTCGCGCGCACCGAGTGCGCCGCTTTCAAAACTTTGAACATCGAATTTGGGTATTGGAATTGACGCCGTTACACTTTTTGTTTAGATACACCAAATTTTGGCACATTTCACATTGAAATTTCTGTTTTCCCGGTTGGGATGACGTAAATAAAATACTACACGGTGTATTCCGCATCACCCTCGGTCCCAGCCCTCCCGCGGATCGGATCTCCCTCCGGCCATCGGGTGATCCGACCCTCGGTCGGGCTGCACCTCGGGCGATACGGAATACACCGTGTAGTATTCTATATGGACATTACGCTGTAGTGTCGTGGTGATGTTACATACTAGTACGCATTTCCCTGATACATTGTACCTTCAATAGGAGGAAGAATGAGCATCACGGAGCAGTTTGAGCGCGCGTACTCCCGTGGCTACGCGGGCGCCTGGAGCTGGCACTACCTGGCGGATACAACTACTGGCGACGACGCCACTGACACCACCTACACGCAGCTAACTGGGCTCCGCAAGCTGCGCAACAAGAACGACCAGACAGGGGGCGGTTGTGTCAGGATCAATCTCAACGGTTCCACCAACTACTGCGAGAAGAAAGGGTTCTGCTACGTTGCCGTACGTGAAACTTGGCCGGGGAACTAGAATAATGATGACAACAATTCAGAAAATCGACGTGCCGGATTTGATTAATAATCTACAGCGGGATTAAATGTGAAATAGACAATTAAGAAAGGGTTTTCAACTTCCCTCCTCCTCTATTGTACCGCTGTTCATAGGAAGCTCTAGATGTTTCCGTCGCAAATAAAAAAATTGGCTGTGTCACTCTAGCGGTTTGTTTTGTGATGATATGCCACAAAATAGCATTCTATAAACCGTCCGACAGGTCTAAGGATAGTTTTCAGTCTGCTCACCAGACTGAGGATAGTTTTCAGCACCAGGGACAGGTCTGCTCACCAGACTGAGGATAGTTTTCAGCACCAGGGACAGGTCTGCTCACCAGACTGAGGATAGTTTTCAGCACCAGGGACAGGTCTGCTCACCAGACTGAGGATAGTTTTCAATCTGCCACCCGAAGTTTGACTGAGATAAAAAAAGACATAATCACCGTGGAAAAAGAAAGCCCGACAAATTAAAAAGCTGAAGCCTAAACCTCTACTTGGAGAGTACATGAAGCTCTTGGCAACGACAAAGTCGTCTTTCTGGTTACGCTTCGCTCGAGGGTCCGGATGTGGCTCTCTTATTCACAACAACAGCGGCTCACAGCAGTCAAAGTGCTATGTACAATACATTACGGGTTTCGCGCAGGTACAATACGTTCTGCCGACGTGCTGCCTTTCGGCGTAACACACCAGCTAACCATAGAAGTGATGTCATCCTGAAATACCAACGTTTTGCCAAAGTGCCATGCTCAAGTCAGAACGGGTTACGCATGCAGGTGCAGTGCGTCCTCACGGTCGACATACTCAATATACTATGCTATAGCGATCTTCGCTTGGTATGATTACGTCATTCACTTGGTATGGGTTATAACGTCATCGAGCAAGTCAGCATTGAATTTACACTAATGGAGATCCTGTCAAACAATCACACAATACCTCTGTACCCTTATGTAACAAATCCCTCCACTAATCCCTGGTAAAACAAGAGTTCAGATATCTCATACCTCCATGAAATATGGGCTTGATATGTAAATGTAAATTTCTTCTTTAATTATGCAAATGACCTCTGCATTAACATAATACATGCATCGTGCTGTTAACTTTTGATTAACTTACATATGTCCCAAGTATGACATTCCCATCATTCACCATTAAGAAATCATAGAATTTTCGAACTAATTATGCAAATTAGGTCATCATTTGCATAATTAGTATCTGTTGATGTTCTGCCTGCCATAGGTTACATACATTACATGTATGAAAGTAGTATAATGTAAAAAATTATAAAAAGTAATTATAGAATTTCCTTATTGATTATGCAAATAAATTCCTCATTTGCATAATTTGCATTTAATCATGCACATCTCTCCCTCAGCTACCTACACACCAAAAATGATGAAAATATGTTGTTCCTATCTGGACTTAATGGCTTTTAAACATTTCGCCAGAAAGTGCCCTGCAGTTCCAGAACAAGCTGGTAGGGGGACCACTTATTCCTGACAGAATAAGCTATCTGTCACCAAAACATCAAGACCATAGCATGTTCAGGACAAAAGATACAAAAACCAGACGTTCTGCTGCAGTGCCAAGGTCATCCACCAGAAGGCCCATATTTGACCTTGACCTTTGTCTTTCCAAGACTTACCAGCATACCAAATATCATCACAATCCATAAAGGCGTTCTGAAGTTTTGCTGACCACAAAGTTGCGGAAACACACACAGACAGACAGACACACACACACAGACATACAGACAGACACGCCAAAAACAATACCTCCATTTTTCATGCGGAACACAAAAACTGCCGCGTTCATTCAAATAACATCATCATCATCATAATAACTCTCGAGCGTTGCAGAGCGAAAATCCGGATGGTACCCAGGCTACCAATTAGATACTGTCTTGGCAATTTGATGCTGTCTTGCAAACTACATACTGCCCCACCAATTTAAAACTGTCAGCCATCGAAAGATCTACTTGGAGATGAGCCAAGAGTAACAGTGGTTCAGCTAGTTCTGATTGTAGACTCAGGTTAGGACTGCCATATAGATCCGGTATGCCTGGCTATGGCCGGATTTAATAACGACACAGTGTGTACGACTGATGTCCTACTCTTGGAAGTTCTTAGGAAGTGTTGCTTACATCCCTATATCCTCCAAGAAGCTTGTACAGTGGTGGAATACTAATACTTCTGTGGGGG